CAATAAATAAACACCGAAATGACCAGCCCAAACAATAACACACACGAATGTCGTGACGTATTTTTGAAGTTGTTTATTTTTTTAAATGACAGACCCAGGCATTAAAAACTTTATGGTTTGCTAGAGTAGTTACCGAAATAGCAATTAATATTAGTTCTTTTATCTGTTATAGCTTCGATATCCGATAAATCGGTATAAAATCATCACCGGCACCTCTAGGTGTGGTATGCGTCTACGGCTGCATGTATCGCGTGAGCGGTTATTTAAGTACCTTCACAGCGGGGTGAGGAGTCGCTCCACTGATGTTCCTCGGTACATATCCTGCGTACGGGTCCCACCAGTCTGTAGTTAGTCGTGCACGAGTACTGGATCACGCTGCCGAGATGCGTTGTGCCATTCAGGAGATCCGCTGACCCGTATGGTAAGGATGGCAGTTTTCCGCAGTCCACATCTGAGGAGGAATAAGGTGTCTTAAAAAACCTACTCATGACATTCCAGTTTTGTGGTTTTTACCTACAATGTACCATTTTTAGGATACCTATCCTATACTATCATGAACTGGTGTCATCCGGTTTTTCGGTTACGTAGGGTACATGGCTGTGCGCTCAGCGTTTTTGTGTACCCGAAAACCACATAGGCCGGTACATGATGGAGCTTGGAGATTTTTGATAATGGATATACTTACATAAGTGGTTGAAAAATCAATTCGATAGAGTTTTAAAGACAGTACGCGTATACAATTTTACGTATACCGCTTTTATATACCTAGTTATACCACCTATCTTAGGGTCGTATTCCAGAACTCTACTCAATGCTCAAGTCAGGACTTGAACAGACTTGAGTATGATTTCAAGCACTGGAAATACGACCCTAATGGCAAGGCCTTGAGTATGATTTTCAGTGCTCACTGCAATAGTCCTGACTTGAGCATTGAGTAGAGTTCTGGAATACGACCCTTAGACTCGTTAGTAGTAGCAGAGCTCCTCATCAAAGAGTTCGTCCAGAAAAGTACTACCAACTTACCTATTTCTGCCGCCAAGCAGCAATGTGAACATCATTGCGTTCCGGTTTGGAAGGGTAAGGGAGCTGGTGAAATTACAGGCACATGAACTTGTCAACTTATGTCTCAGGATGACGGGCGCAGTGGCAGTGCCCTCAGATCTTTGTGATTTAAAGCTCTGAGTGGCTGTGCAACTGTTATGGATAGGCGTGTCGCTTACCACCAGGCGCTCGATTTGTTCGTCCCGTCACTTGGTATTATAAAAAAAAATGTTACCGAACACCACATTAGGCCTGTACATGATGGAGCTCGGAGATTTTTGATGATACGTGGGACTTGGACATGGGTACATGAGTCGTTGAAAAATCAATTCGATAGAATTTTAATGACAGTAGGCGCATCTTTTTTTATACCTAGTTATACTATCTTAGACTCTTAAATGCACTTACATTCGCACTTAGGCGATTCTCCGGACCATTCTCCATCAGACTGACAGACGAGACTCGGTTCACCGATTAGTTTATGTCCTTTTTCGCAGTGGAAGTCGATGGTTGAATGTATGTTGTAGTCGTATGCCTCCATATATCCGCCAGCTGGCACTTCGGGGTCTGGGCATGTTATCACTGCAAAAAATTCATTGTTTTATAGCATCTACTACAAACTTTTGGACCATTTCTACCATGGAAATAATGCAAGAGTTACGGCTACAACGGCTGAATTGATTTTTTGAATTGTAATGGAACATTTGCATCTAAATCGATTCACTGATCGGATCATATGATTTAGAACAGATCTCATAAAAATCCTTTCCACATTTTAAACAAAAAAAAAAAATTGACAGCCTTTTCGGCACAAAAGTAGTGACAATCGCCAAATATCAAGTGGCAACTCATTGTGCTTAGATGTTGTGTATTATAAGATTCGAATCGATATGCTTAAAAATCGTATTGCAATGAATCGATACAAAAAATTGCTAAAATCGTGTATATTTCAATCGATCTTCAAAAAATCGAATCATGTTTGCAATAAGCGCCACTAACAGACACAAAATATTATCGTTAAGGATCTTTGTGTCAGATACTTTCGTTAAAAAAGCAAGGCTGTATAGATTTCCATTTATAAAAGTTCACGATTTACTTACATTCACATGATGGAATATCATGAGACCATTTTCCATCTCGGTTGCACGTGAGGACTTCAACACCGGCCAGCCAATAGTCCTGTTCACATGTGAACTGTGCCACCGAGCCGTAGGTGGTGGTGCCATTCAGGAGCCTGAAAGAACCTTTGTGCACTTGCGCAGGAGTACCGCAGTCCACGTACTTGCAGGATGGAGGAGTACCGGCCCACAGGCCACCTAGGGTGCAGGTTACGCTCTGAAGAAAACAAGGTAAATCAGGTTATTTGTTAATAGCCGAAGATACAACAACAAAATGGTAAGACTATGTTTGGTTACACCTTATGTCAATGTTAACAGTAATTATGTTTCACGAACGATTCTTTTTTGTTCAAAAGAACGTACCTCAGTAGTAATACCATTCAGATTTGAAGAAGATATTCCACCTTTAAGGGCAAATTAGGGAACATTCAGTTTATTGAGTTTCACCCGCTTTCCGCGATTTTAATAAAACTTGGCGCATAGATGTAATTTCAATGAAAGATAAATGTTTTAGTGACCTGGAGATGACTTGATGATAAAAATGGCTGACAGGTGAGAGGAACTCCTCGACAGTTTGCGCAACTCTTTTCTCTTCTTGAGATCGATCTTGTGTTTGGGCTCTTGTTGTTCGTGTTGACGAGGACTTCCATATTATGCGTTTCAGATATCGTTGAGGAGACCACGATAAAGAATACAGCGAAAGCAGAGCTAACTTTTGAAATTGATTTTTTAAAATAAAGTTTCTTTATTTTAAAAAATTGACTATTATAGTATTTTTTGAAATAAGTTGTGTGAAAAAACAAATATACGAAAATAAATATAACGCTATTTAAATCTGGAAAAATAGTTCATTTCCTGTGTGTAACAATCGCGAAAACCTAAGAACTCGATAAAAAAGTTATATTAATCCATAGAGGTTTCAGTAAATTTTCCATAATACTCACTGGAGCTCCAAATAATATGAATCCGTTCTGGCAAGTGTACGTGGCCAGGGATCCAGCCTTGTGTCCACTGACGGCTACTGTTGCCCCGGATACTGGGGGAGGATCTGGACACCAGTCAAAGAGACACTTCGGAGATTCGCCACTCCACATTCCTTTGTCTCCGCAATTTCTCTCGGCGTCACCTACGAGGGTATGATTCTCTCTACAGGTGTATTGAGCTCTCGCTCCGTGCGTTGTTCTACCGTCGATTAGAGTGACGTCACCATCTTGGATTGGCGTGACGTTCCCGCAGTTTACATCTGTTGTCAGAAAAAAAACGAATTCAGAATTTATCTTAGAAAATTATATAAGTAATTAAAGAACGGCACTAATTAAATCCCCTAATGAAATAGAGTAGGGAAGTACGCAACGATTACACTTAATCCTCATCGTCATATAATATCATAAGTACAAAAAAAAATAAAAACATTTCTTTAACTGTCTAAAATAAAATATTGTGATACATACATAACCACACTAGGCTAGGTCTGTGTCGTGGTTATCAGTACAGAAAGTTTTTACATAAAGCCTTAACTTTACTTTTTTATATAATATCAAATGACGGGACGAACAAGTCGTGCGCCTGATCGTAAGCTACAAGCCTGTCCATAACAGTTGCAGTGCCACTCAGCTCTTTAAATGGCAAAGATCTGAGGCGCACCGCCACTGCGCATGTCACCCTGAGACATAAGTTGACAAGTCCCATGTGCCTGTAATTTCACCAGCACCCTTACCCTTCAAAACCGGAACACAGTAATGCTGATATTACTGCTTGGCGGCAGAAATAGATAAGGTGGCAGTACAACCTTGGACGAACTCTTTCACAAGGAGCTCTACTGCTACTTAAAACTATGCTTATTATTACAAATTATGTCGATTACATAACCAATACTCTACTCGATGGTTACAAAAGATAAACGTGTGTGTGTGTGTGTGTGTGTGTGTGTGTGTGTGTGTGTGTGTGTGTATGTGTGTGTGTGCGCGCGCGCCTGCGTGCGTGCGTGCATGCGTGCGTGCTTGCTTGCGTGCGAGTGTGTGTGTATGTGTGCGCGCGTGCGTGTGTGCGCGTGTGTGTGTGCGTTTTTGAGTGTGAGCACGAATTAATAATAATAACAATGATATATTGTATTTGTAGAGCGTTTTTTATTTTATTCCTATGTCTTAATGAACACAACACTCGTCGTTATTTGTTCCTAATAGTAACGACTCTGTGTCATGTTCATCATCCATTGCTTTAATGTAATCTTGCTTTAATTGCAATTTTCGTCCATCGAGCACGTAACCGGAAATAGAGACGAAGTGTCACTTATTTTGTTTGAAAACTATTCTGCCAAATCATTACGGTGACAAATGTGCTCCGATTGGCCAGCCCGAATTCGAAACAATTGACGGGTGTCGTCAATTGTCTCATTTCAGATCGACCAGTTTAACTTGACCTTTGCTATAATGGACGGAAATTGAAAAATTACATATTTAATATTTAATTATCGATGAAATGTAATCCGTTTGTTTCGTAATTAGATGTTTTGCTGTTTTTCCCACACCACGGCATAGACCAGCCCCCCATAGTTAGAGATATTATTTTTATTACAATAAACAGAATTTTTTTTAATATACGGAGACGTACCTACACACAAGTCAGTTATTGACGCTGTACTAAGTATGTAACACATTGTTTTTGGTACATCTATTATACAAAACAAAAACAAAATTTATCTTCTCTCTTTGGTATTTTTCACCATTCTAGTAGTTTTCAGCTTTTTAATTTGTGATTTCAGTGCAAAACCAGAGTTGATATTTAAAAGTGATATATAGCATTGCCTGGTGAATTGTCAGAAATGGATGGCCCTTATTTCGTCTCTATTTTTAGTTATATACTCGATGTTTTCGTCTAACTTCATGTGCCGATAGGTAAGTATAAAAGAAAATGCAATACTTAAGTCCAATGCAATATTTATAAGTCCTACAAGCACATAAACAAAGCAAACGTAAATAGCTCAAGTCCAAACTCAATTACATTGAGTTGCAGTCGTCTATTTTGCGACAGTTCTCGCTGTTATTTACGGTTATACGAAAAAATAGTCGAACTGAAAAACTTTGCAGTTTTCGATGAAATTTCAAGTTTCTAGGAACTAGTAATTGCGAAATTCCTGCCTGTAGGAAACTGTAGAGGTGTGTCTGCGTTTATAATTATGCCAGTTTTAACACATTAAGTATTTTGCTTGCCCTCCCGAGCTGATAAGGAGCAATTTGGAATCACTAGCATCAAACAGCTTTAACATGAGTCATGTACATAGAATACATACTTAATTAATGTAGATGCTTTGTAACTGCAGCGGAATTAGGCGAACTATGGATCAGGTAACATTTGCATTACGTTGTTTCGGCTTTCAAGGAAGGACAAGGTTCGTCGTGAAATTACAGACATGAGACTTGTTAACTTATGTCTCAAGGTGACAGGCGAAGTGGCAGTGTCCCTTATATCTTTTCGATTGAAAGCTCTGAGTGGCACTGCACCTGAGGCGCAAGACTTGTCCGTCCCGTCAGCAGTAGAGCTCCTTGTAGAGTTCGTCCAGGGAAACACTGCCACCTTACCGTTTTCTGCCACCAAGCAGTAATATTGGTGTGAGTGCTGGTCAAATTACATGCATTTGGGACTTGTCAACTTATGTCCCAGTGTGACAGGCGCAGTAGCAGTGCCTCTCAGATCTTTGCGATTTAAAGCTCTGTGTGGCACTGCAATAAAAAAACAGGGAAACCCTGTGTCGCGGGTGCCATGGACACACACACAAATTCCACCCAACTCACGAGACAAATAAATGTAGATCATACAAACAGTTCTCCCGGCCCAGGAATCTAACCCGAAATCTCTGCGTGGCAGACCAGCATGGAAACCGTTGGGCCACAGAGGCGGTATATTATAAATAGGCTGTACAGATATTGACTATCTCAGTACAATACCATTTATGTAATGGACTGCTAGTACCTACTTGGCGGCCAACACCTGGTCGTTATTTTCCGTTGTGGTAGACATGTTACAACACATTTCTTTTTATCATTTTACGGCTTTTGATCAACTTACATTTACAGCTAGGAGCTCTACCAGACCAGAACCCATCTTTCTTGCACTCCCTAGTCTGATCTCCAATGAGCATGTGACCTTCAGGGCATCTGTACGCGATGCTGGCTCCGACTTGGTAGCTGTCCCCCACGATGGTGGTGTTCAGGAGCTTGTCTGGACTTCCACAGGATGGAGGCACTGTAGACAGAAGAATGTTTTCGAAGTTGCAATTATTCAACTTTATATTCATAGCGCTAGGTGCAGGTTCTAAATAATACAGTCGCAGTCAAAAATTGTTTTTAGAATTGTTAATAACAAAATTAGTGAATATTGTAACAGTTTGTAGTGAAACATTCGCTGATGCTTTTTGACTTAAGAGTCGATCACTATCAGCTGGAATTCAAAGGTTTCCCGTACTGAATCCGTTCTATTGCGCGGGACGAGCAGCAGGGACACTGGCTGTATTTCAGCATTTATTTTTTTACAAATGAAATTAAAACCGTTTGTATAATGTATATCGTGTAATATACGTGTTCTATTTACTTCAGTTGATATAAAAAAATCATTGGTATATGCATTGACTTACAATTATATGGACGTCGGGTCCGCGCTAAAAAGTGTCCGCACTTGTAAGGCGCTAAAATCGTATACAGAGCGCGACACTCCGCTTTAGTCTTCATTTGTTCTACTGACAGCGCGATATTGCGATGACATTACAATTTAAATTTCGAATAGGTTGACTTGGGACATTTTTTTCGTGGTTTTTGTATTAGACCCGTCGTATGTAAAGTATTATAGAAGCCGTAACGTAGCTCAGATTGGATTGCGTAAACGTACTTTTATAAGAAAACTCAATAAATATAATTGTATCGTGTATTCAATTTGGAATCTAGTTTCGAATTGCTACATGTCTGTTTGACATCAACACTATTTTTCTTACAATTGTAAATACAAAACCTAAGCTGCCTGCTACAGTACCTATTGAATACGGCTGTTTTCTTGTAAAATTTCGAGGTAAGTTCGTGTTTTTTTTTAATTTTTAGGAATCGTGTTTTCACACCGTATACTAATCAGTGTTTATCCTCAATTTTACTATACACTTTTTCCATAGCGATTGATTCAACAATTTCACTGCGAAATCAACCAAAGCTATTTGAGGTTGTATCGACTTTTAACCATAAAACCTAGATCAGATAGATTTTAGCCGTGGGGCGACGGCTTAAGAATACATTGTCGCCTCCCCATACATGCCCGTGGGGGTCGTAAGAGGCGACCGAGGGCGTCACAAGTGTCCATCTGCTTAGCGTTGTGGTAGGCTCTGTGCCGACTGGATAGCGACCACAGTACACACGGCGGAAAACCCTCCACAGTGAAACGCTTTTGCGAATCGCGTTCAGGGATCAGTTGGTGTACATCCAGTGCATTTGGCCAGACCGGCAAAATGATAGTGACGGAGTGAAGATATTTGTGTTTTCCATCCGTTACTCTCATCTCTGGACTGTATTCGCACTTTCCATCAGGCGCGGTGCAGTCATTTTGTCGAGTCGCAATAAAAAAAAAAAAAAAAAAAAAAGATCAAATTATTTGATCCTCATAGATATAATTGATCTATTGCAAACGTGCATTTTTTTAAATAAATGATTCTCTTTATGTTTGATACTGCATTGAAGGTCAACACTATCATTATAGAAAATGAAACTATTTTTCTGGATTTAAATCGCGTATATTTGTTTTTTCAAACAAACCGACGCGACGTTTCGGGCCTTTTACAGGTCCCATGGTCACGGTTGACTGAGGTGGTACAGTCTTCAACCCTATTTTTTCACTATAGTTACAATTATTATTATTTAAATACCTTATTTTTAATTTTACAAAGAAAACATTCCAATTTACGCTACATTAAGTTTTACAAATTATTTTATTGAAAGAATTTTTATTAAGTTTAATTTATTATTAATTATTAATAGAAATTAGAATAAACTAAAACATATTAATTAGTACTGCAGTCTTATGTCTGTTTGGGATTTTTCATTAGAGGAAATACTGGATCCCAAACTGGTGGTACAGAGAAACCATCTTCCCTGTTGAAATCAGGATGTTTTTTAATTTCAATGGCCTCTCGCAGCATCCAGGGCAGATAACGGACTTGTTTTGCAAGGACCTGGGGTTTGTCAAACTTCATTGAATGTGTAGGTTTATCCATGACATGCTCGCAGACTGCAGACTTGTTATCATTATGTTGACTATCATTATGTTTAAGTATACTAAATTATTATTTGAATTTACACCGATCATAACGTGTCTGTTAAGACTAATTATTGTACTACCGTGTGACTACATTTTTAAAGACTACTAAATAAAAAATAATCTGTATAACCACACTATCAGTCTGACCATGAAATGCAAAATCAAAAATATAAATATATCTTTAATTCACAGGTAAACAAGTTACATTTTAAATCGTCAAAAATCGAGTTTATTTCATATTTATTTAGGGTTACGGAAACTCGATGAATTCTATACATATAAAGATGATTTGTTTTGTGTCCTTGGTTTTTTAAAATTTTTTTTTAAACAAATGTCCGTGCGCCTTTGACCTCAATCTCACCTGATGGAAAGAGACGACGAGGTCGACGATGAAGCATGCACTTCTAAAGAATGCTTATTCACTTTCGCCTCGAAAAGGCACAACTTATGACGTTGAGGGAACAAATCTGCACGCAGGAAATTCTGCTAAATGAACGTATAATCTCCACTAAATGAATAAATGTATACATGAGTTTCTGTACGCTGCAAGACAGGTCTTCACTCTCGCTTTGACTTTTCAAGGACCCTTGTCCAAGCTATAACGTTCAGGGAACACGTCTGTAGGCAGGGAATATGGAAGCGTAACGCTTTGAGCGAATCTTTGGGATATCCACAACAACATCCCATGGCCTGGGATTAGGCTAGGGGATCCTGGTGGACATTTTTATGACTTTCGTGTAATAAAAGCAGTTGTGACGTACGATTACGTGTGGTTTTATTATATCAAGCGTACGAAAACATAATCGGGCGTTGAGGTGGTGAGCAACGTGTCGCGTTTCAGTCACGCGTTATAGGCAATTGAGAAGCAATCTTCCGTGTTCTTAATTGGCAACTGAGAAGCAATCAGCCAGAAGTTGCTCCATCAAGAGCTCACTTTTGATCGAATGTTAACTACAACGCTGCAGTATATTGGACGCACTATTAAATTGACCTGGTATCTCCGGTCGGACGATGAGTTTCCGATAGTTACGTACAGTCCACCATTGAAATAAAATATCCACCGCCCAAAAGGTGTATTAGAATAATTACATTGCAGCTAGTGGTCGAACAGACGTTTTACTTGAAATTCTTTAAGTGCTGATTTTATAAGTGTAGTGAATATTTTTATTTTAATAACATACAGGTAAGGATTTCGAAATAGGTAGGCGGAGCCGAGATCCTGGTACTTATTACTTTTAATTCTTTACGCCAGCTCCGTTGCGTAGCCAGTTCTCTTGCTGGTGTGCTGGAGATGGGATGGGGCAAGTGTGTCGGTACGTGTGGCGTCCCATACCAGTGCCCGGCTCATACTCCAAGAAGTTTGTCTGATTTTTTCAACAGAAAAAATATTCTACTACTCGACGATCCGCATTTAGCACACACTACAATAAATAGTTTATGTAGGTTTATATTTCAGCCATTTTTAAATTGTTGTCATTGATAATTATATTTACATTTGAATTTTAATAAATTAATTGTACAGTAATATCCCGCAGACTTAGTTTATTCACCATGGCTAGGGTTGGCTGGAAGAAATCTCTTCTAGAGATAAGCTCACCTTTGTGTATGTCCTTTGTAACTTGTAATTTTTAATGTCATGGTATTTGTACCATAAAAAATATAGGTCGTACAAATATTTCTCCGGCCCGGGAATCGAACCTGGGACATGTTATAGTTGTGATGGATCAATAGAACTAACTGTAATACCAGTCAGTGGATGCGACAAGATGGTCGACAACCCGATGCGAAGATGGCGGGATGGTCTAAAAGTGTTGTTAAGAAAGCTTTCAAATAAATCCCATTATCGCTCCGCCCATGTACCCTGCCACCCCATTTTTCTTTAAATTACACTGCAAATGCAAATTACACTCGCCACGCGCCTTATCGAAAACTACATCGGAAATATATTTGCAGTATTTTTATTTATTCAATACTTTCCGGCGCAAAGGTCAATGCGCACAAACTAATAAAGATTACCTCACTCCATCTCCACCCGTGGAAGTCGGAAAAGGCGACTAAGATTAAACTAAATTAAACTAAGGCAGGTTTCTGTAATTTCAACGGATAAGCTCATCCTTTGTCACTTATACGATTCTACTCCTAGTGAAGATGAATAGTGGACAACATATTACTATTTTAATTTACAAATGATTTAAATTTAATTTTCTACACAGGACTGATAAATTTGTAGCAACTGGGGGAATAACTGGGATTGTTGCGCGAAGAAAGTGTTGAAAGTCATAAACAACTACTATTTTGAAAAATGTCAAACGTGCTTTTTGTTACTATAAGCACCAGATATTGACTCATTAGTGAAGTGTTGTGATTTAATACTTTTAGGGATGTATCATTCAATAATCTGAGGATAATTATCAAGTCTTACTTAAATCAACCAATAAATATCACGTTTTGATAACAGATTTTTTGAGAGCAGTCAAAGTATCCGCTTGGTTTAAGTACCACTCAACACTTTTGTTAGCGCTGCTGGCGCCATACACACGATCTATGTATATACTTAATGATTGTGATTTGTGTCTTGTGTGAATTTTGCTTGTGATTTTCTTTTGTAATTATTTATTAGTGTCTTGTTTTTTTTTAAATGTACACATATAGAATGTAATCATCACGTGGTAACAGATGCAGTTTGATACATTACCAAAGTTTTGATAATGCGTCTTTACTTTTTCTTTTACTTGCGTTTTGTTTCCATTTTTCTTTTGGGGTGTCATTTGTGGTAGTTCAACTACGTATTTTGAAAAGTTGAAATTCCTTTTTCGCAACCTGGTTGCGAACGAAGAAAAAATACTCGTGAGTTGCAACTAGTTGCGATCAAAAAGTAAAAAGTTATCTTTCGCAACTGGTTGCGAACTATGGTTGCGAAAGCGTCCATAAAATAAATGTATTTTCTTTAT